GAGATCAACTTGTTCCTTTTCTCTGGATCTTTCAACATGTCTCTGCAATCACACACAGACACACACACAAGTTAAGTTAATATAATAGCCCTATAATGACTATAATGATATTTTGAAATAACAACAAAAAATAAAAATTAAGATACTGAAGCCAGACCTTAAAAAAAAAAGCATACTACAAATGTATTATGAAATAATATGTGTGTGTGTGTGTGTGTGTGTGACATTCACCTCCTCTGCTGCAGTCTCTCCTCCTCAGGAATACGGAATGAGAATCGTCTCTTGCTGCCCATGCTGCGTACCATCTGCTTCCTGCTGTTATCACACACCTCAGGCACCACCAGTTCGTCCCCCTCTAAACACACACACATTATGCATTATCAGACATATTATTCAAATCTGAATTATTCATTACATCAAACAGCACTACTAAACAAAAAGTTTCAAACAACTACACCCAACGTGAGCTATAATTCTTGCATTTCACTAAATTAGAGGCAGTGCCGTTACCTGCAGTCTTGTTTCTGAAGTAGATGAGTCTGACCGTCTCTAGGCCCAGGAGATTCAAAGAGCCATCCATGTTCAACGGCCGGACCTGCACGGAGCCAGTCAAAGTTTATTTATTCATTTATAAGATGACTCATTTATGTGTTTCAGTAAATAAAAAGCTTTCAGTCATTCTATTATGTTAATTTGGTGCTCAAGAAACAGTTCTTATTATTATTAAATGTTGAAAACAATTGTGATAGGTGTGCAAGAATTCTTTATTTATAATAATAACATTTTTTTTAAAGACTTCTGAAATTGAAATAAGCAAACCTTTTTGAGAGGAATGGTCTGAATCCATTCCATAGTGTTCACATCAAACACATCCACTGCATTTTCACTGTAGACTGACAGGTAGGGGGCGTTGTAGCCTGCCAGATGTAAATCATCCACAAGGTCAATCTAACAAAACCTTTTCACAGCCACACCCTGACCCTTGTCTTTAACCCTTAAGTGTAAATAGATTCTCTCTACTCACAGCAGGCGGTGGGCGTCGCGGGCCACATCAGCTCCTGCTGGCGCGCGCGTCTGCCATGTGTGTCCACATACACTGCAGTTTTGCTGAAGCAGAGCAGCCGTTCTTTATGGGAGATTTCCACTGCACAAAGGGCATCCAAGTTGTCTGCCCTAATAAACGCCAACGTGGGGTCATCTGGGTGAAGTAAGTTGACCGGAGGGGCATCTCCATGCAAACTGTAGCGCATGAAGCCCGCTTGGTAGCCTACACATAACTGCTGGCCGAAGAGCACCATCCACTGGACAATTCCTGGAGCCTGAGATATAGAAAGGGCTGTTGATATTGCTGTGTATGCTAGCAAAGATGCTCTTTGTGATCTAATGAGTATGAACACTATTTACAATTAGGCTGCATATACTTGATTTGAAAAAATGAGAAGGGTTTTGAATACTGTACTTGTATGTCCACCAGATGGCAGTAGCGAGACTTGCTCTTGTTAATTTCATAGCAGGAGATCTGTCTTTTACTGGCGAGGCAGAAGCAGGTGCTATTGCGCACCACACCAGACACCAGTGCCTGGCAGTTTTTAGTATCTGCCACCTTATTCTTGTCAATCTCCCTCCCATCGAGCCCCGCCATGGGGAGCAGACACACTTGTCGGTTCCTGCCCGAGATGACTGCCATTAGGTGCTCTGTGGGCATCAGTTCTACATGATGCACTTTCTTAATGTCACCCACGCGAACAATTTCTAGCAGAGAGAACAAAAATGTTCAATGAATGTTGGTCTTGCATCAGTTATTTCAGTTTTAATGGACTTGTGGTTCAGCAATGGTAGTGCACTGTTTAAAACAGTTAAAAAACTGTTATATCTTATTTTGAGAGTTTACCACCTTTAATAGATTTGTAATCAGATGTCTGCTCTGATACACAGGAAAAATAGAAAAAAAACATTGATTTACCTGCTTTCATGCAAAGAAAGGTCATTCACACTTAGAGGCTATACTAAAAATAACCATTCTCTGTCACTCTGACAGACTGGGTTCTACATTTTCCATCATGCTCTATTTTTATCTGTCGTTGTTTTCATTCTCCCTAAAATTAAGTAAACGTCTGGCATTCCAATGCAATAGACTAATTTTTTTCTGTCAAAATGATGGAGAGCATGTCAATGTTTTTAACATTTGGGAATTACAGAAATTGTACCTCAACTACCCTGAAGCGCCCTGGTAGCTCATACATCAGACTTTACAAGGTTTAAACCAACAAACTTTAAGTCACCAGTCTAGATTTTTGACCACTAAGACACAAACCTTCAGTTTATTGGGTAATGAAGAAATAGGAGGATTAATGAAGGAAGTTTTACCGTCTTTGGTGACGTGGATTACAAACAGGCCTTCCTCATTCCCCAAAGCAAACCGTTCATGGTCTAAACAGAAATTGTGACAATCAAACATTTTGGATTAAACACTTGGTAAGAGTATCAGTATTTGCTCTTTGTGTGTCTCTGTCTGTACCTATAATAGCAGCAGTCTGGGTGGTTTTGATGAGAGGAAGGGTGCTGTCATACGCTTCTTTAGGCACATACACGAAGCGCTCCTTCAGCTTGTTTTTCCTCAGGATGCGGTGCAGTTCATTCAGAGCACACACCCACTTTGTCCTCTCTTGCTCATTGTCGGCAAGGATCAGGATGCATGTCTTCTGACTGGAGGAGGCGGACAGCTGAGATGCTGTTACCTGTGGAATGAACGGAGAACAATATATAAAAAGCAATTCAAAACTGTCTTGAAATGAAATGACTAATGACTGCCTAAGGCTATAGTTAGTTCAGTCATGATTATTACATAATCGCCTGATCGCTATTATTTGATCTGTTATATTTTGAAGAAACCTTTGTGAGAAAAAATGCTTGATGAAAGAGGAAAGTGAAGAATTTAGGACAAAAAATAAATGACTATTCCTATTCTACAAAGGCACAATGCAATTATTACATCAACACTGGAGCTAAGACAAATGGCCAAAAATGGTTGTTTGTAACAGAACAGATCAAAGATTTAGAGATCCGCTTTTGGTTATAACTAAATTTAGACAAAATGTGTAGTTATTGCATTTTGCATTTCTATGGCAATAAAAACAACAATATATATCATAATTATACTACAAAATAATCTAAAGAAATACTTTCATAAGCACGTTTTACAATATTGTTATTCATATCAGTCTCTCCTTGTACAGTATTTGCGAACAAATTCCAAGTTCAACAAAAAATTCAAATGACATTTTTCAAGGTATGCGTATACCTTGAAAAATGTCATTTGAATTTTTTGTTGAACTTGGAATTACCTTTCAAAAATGTGGGCTCAGATTTAAAAACAATAATAATAATAAACACTTTTTCCCCCCCACAAAAATAATAAGCAAAACAACTTCAAAATTATAATAAAAAATGTAATTGTCATAGAAAAATGACAGGATGTCAGAAAAAGATATTCTACAGTGAGAAATTACAAATTGCCTGTATGCTCTTACCCTAAAAATACAGGGGATATCCTTCTTGTTAGCATGGATGACATCAGACTCCAGAACAGAGCTGGCGGAAAACTCTTCATCCCTGCTCAGGATAAAAGCGTGTACAAGTACAATATATGAAATACTTGACTTCTTAAATATTTGAGCATCACATTTGAATGAAGATCTCCCTCACCTCATGTCAATGACCTGGTTAACTGTAACACCAGGCTGGGCGCCTTTCCCTTCTCCAAGCTCATACAGGAAAAGTTTGAAGTCACATACCACTGCCCAGACCCTCTGCCAACCCCTTTTCACTCCTGTGGGCTTTGGTATCTGGAAAAGACCGTCAAAGCTTCATTACAAGTCAGCCAAAAAAAAAAAAAAAAAAGTTTGTGGCCTATAGTATACATCCAGATAAACAGTCAACGGTGGAAAAGGTATGTGGTCATTTCTGAACCCCATAAATAAAACAGAGTGGTCAACAGTGAACAAAATATGAAGAGAAAACATATTTGACCACTCTTACCCTAAGATGGCCCTCATATGCAGTCCCAATGCCCCTCTGAGTGTCAATTCCCAGTTTGCCCGTGGTTTGGTCTGGTGCGACGGGGCACACAGAGGGTGCTTTATCAGCACAGGTGACGTGACAGGAGAAGTTGCAGACTGTAAGGAGAAGTGGAAGACAATGGCAGTGAGTATTACTGAGCATTCTGCCAATAAGGCATCCTTGGATTGGAGAACATTCAATAAACCTGAAAGGTTCACCCTTATTTTTGTTTCCAAACCCGTATGACTTTATTTCTTCTGTGGAACACAATAGGGGAAATATTAAAGATTTATGCTGGTTCTCCTTGTGTGTTCCTCAGAAGAAATAAAGTCATAGGGGTTTTAACATCTCGAAAACTAAAAAAATGATAATTTTTACAGTCGTTTCTAATACTTTAAACACCCAGACTCCTTTCTTTTCTGTTGTCTTACCTTCACAAGTGCAGCCCTGACGGATGAGTCCCACCATTAGAGAGGTACACTGGGCACATTTGGTGGGAACAGTGAAGGTCTTCACACTAAACTGGTGCGCCTTTGGCTGTGGAGCAGAGAACATCAGCAATGTAATTAACCATAACCATATCCATAGATGTTTCAATAGAAACATTACAGCATTAAGACCAGTGGTGTAGTGGAGGGTATACGCAGGTATACAGCGTATACCCCACTTCTTTATCAGTCGGCTTTGCGTATACCCACTTCTAAATCCCCTCTGATGCGCATCATTCAGTAGTGTCCTGCATTAGCCAAAATCATGACAGTCCACCATGACTAGCTAATCAAATCGCATGTGAATAAATGCAAATATTCCCTAAACATACCCAGTAAAGACAGTGATGCGGTCAGGACCGTGGCGCCGCTTCCTTTGAAATAAGTTTGATTATTGCGCGAGCTCCGTCAGTCAGAGAGGATGCTGATTGCCGACAGACAGAGATGCTGCTTCTTCATGCGCGAGAGCATGTAAGGGGATGCGCGCAGAGTGGTAAAATAATAGTTAATTATTGATTACTAATTTGAATCAGTACATTACAACGAAAACAATAGCTTAAAAACCGGTAAACTCCTGTAAACTTTTCAGTCCAAGGATCCAGAGTAAACAAATGCATTCAAACAGTAAGTTCGAAACAGCTCAAATACAGAGAAAACGTCTCGGTTACGTATGGTAACCCTCGTTCCCTGAAGGAGGGAACGGAGACCATTTTGGGGTGAACTAAATATGCAAGACTAGTCTTACGTCACTGTTTATAACACAGGCCGTTCATCCTTTGCTGGGCCGTTTAAAAAAATGGGGACATAAATTAAGAGTATACCCACTTCTCCAGGCACCACTACACCACTGATTAAGACAAATGTTAGACAATAGGATTATTAGACAAAATTCCTATAGCACAATACAGTATTATCGCACAATACTTATTTTTGCTGGAAATTCATGAAAAATGGTTTATAATATTAAACAACCATATGGTAATGCATATTTCTGGATAATCTACTTAAATTAATACTTAAAGCAGTTCTGCAGCACAAATATAGAAATGTATGGAATGGTAAAATGAATACAATAATACACTACAGTTCAAATGTTTGAGCTCAGTAAAAAATGTCTTAATTTTATTCAGCAAGGAAGCAAATTAATAATTTTATAATACATATAGACATTCATAAGGTTTCCAAAAATTCCAAATTCCAAATGCTGTTTATAAATGAATCCTAAAAATAGAATAATAAATGTTTCTTGAGCACCCAATCAGCATATTAGAATGATTTCAGAAGGATCATGTGACACTTAAGACTGGAGCAACGGCTGCTGAAAATTCAGCTTTGCCATCACAGAAATAATTAACATTTTAAACATATTCAAATAGAAAACAGTTCTTTTCTAACTGTAATAATATTTCACAATTTTATTGTTACTGTTTTTTTACTAAATAAATGCAGCCTTGGTGAGCATAAGACTTCTTTCAAAAACACTTCAAACTCTTACCCACCCCAAATATTTGAAAAGTAGTGTAATCTATACAGATTGACACATTTCTACTGCTATAATGTAAACAGTTACCTTAGGTGATGAGTGCCCCAAGCTCCCATAGCCTGATCTTCCTGTTGGAGCCTGAAGACTACGTGACGTTTGGTCAATCAACTAGGAGGAGGACACCAACACATTATTATATAAACAGAAGTGATGGTAAGAGTTAAAGGAATAATTGACTCGAAATTAAAATTCTGTCATCATTTCAAACCTGCCTTTCTTTCTTCTGTGAAACACAAAAACATTAATCTTAAATGCTGGATCCAGGCTGGATCACTTTAATTATATGGAAAAAAGTGGCCCGTGCATCTGCTTTTGTGCTTCACAGTCTGGAATAACATGAGGGCAATTAAATAGTAACAGTATTTTCATTTTTAGGCGGACTATTCCTTTAAGAGTCCAAATGATACCTCAATAGGCTCCATGTCACTGGCGGTGGATGGGGAGCGTGAGCGTGATATACGCCGAGATCTTGAGTCTTCATCTCGTGACGGAGTGTTGGAGGGAGTGAAATCGGCCGAGTCAAGCTAAGATACAAAAAGATGGTAATTATACAAAATGTGTCATGCGGCACAGCCTGTGATACCAGAAGAATATGCCACCATGCAGAGTGAAACACACTCGCAGCGGTATAATGACAATAATATTTTTACTGGAATTACACCCTCTAAGCAGAACAAAGCATGTGCACCCAGGCACCAAGCCAATGAGTGAAGGCACAATACACCCACTACACAGAGACCACACACCAACTACACATGCAAGACGGAATGAAAGGCAGAGAAACAGCATGGGGAGAAAAACAATAAAGGGAAGTATATCCACAATTTATGAGGGTCTTACATTAAAGTGATCTGTAAAGGATTAGTTTACAGAAACGTGAAAATTCATTCATCATTTGCTCACTGCCATGTCTTTCCAAACCTGTATGATTTCTGTATAACTTTTCAACAAATAACTACACTACTGTTAAAAAATTTGGGGTTGATTAAGATTTTTTTTAATGTTTTAAAATGAAACCTGTTATGATCAATAAAGCTCCATTTAGCTGATAAAAAATACAGCAAAAACAGTAATATCGGAAAATATTATTGCAATGTAAAAAAAAAAAAAAGTTGTCTATTTTAATATATTTTAAAATGTAATTTATTCCTGTGATGGCAAAATGTAATATTCAGCAGCCATTATTCTAGGCTTCAGTGTCACATGATCCTTTAGAAATCATTCTAATATGCTGATTCGCTGCTCAATAAACATCTCATTATTTTGTTGAAAACTGTTGCAGCTTAATATTTTTGTGGAAACCATGATAATTTTTTTCAGCATTCTTTCATGAACAGAAAGTTCCAAAGAACAACATTCGTTTGAAATAGAAAACTACTGCACCATAACATCTTTGAAACTTTTCTTTTTTTTTTGGATTTTGACCATCTTTGAAAGAAAAAGAAGACAGTGAAAACTTATTCTGTGCACCATGGAGAAAAACAATACGAGGTTTGGATCGAAAAAACGGTCAGTAAATGATGGGAAAATGATCATTTTAAGCAATCAACTTTTATACAACTTATTTTTCTTTTTAATCTCTATACATGTGCAAAAGTTAAAATTAGATCCAAATATTAAGCCAAGTAAATGAATTTATATGTTTCCATTTAAATGGGCTTTTAAAATGTACCATAAAAGCACATGGTATGGAAGATAAACCACCAAGTTTAATTAACTAACCCAGTCAATAACCCAGATTCTCTGAAGTATATTAATATATAACACTTCAATCACATATATGGTTCATATGTGTTTCAACAGATGAAAGAAAGGTTCCCAAACACATTTCAGATGCATTTAAGCATTAAAGGTCTCATGCAATACAGATATCACCACAATCAGAGCTGCCACCCATGCAGTCTGCAAAACAGGCCATTACAACCTCAGGAAAAAATATGATAGAGGGGGGATTTTGCTGTGACACAGGACAAAAACGGGTCTTACACGTCTGGTTTTGCTTCCAGGACCAAAAGAGGGTGATCGCTTTATATGGAGAGAGAAAAAAAGATGAGAGGAGAGTCAAACGACAAGTGTCAGCTGGATACGATCATGGCCTGGGACGGCAGGTTGGAGAACGGAGGGAAGGGAATGAGGGCGTGTAAGAACACGTCTAATCTGTGGTTGGATTTCTGGGCATAGTTTACATGCACAAAGGAATCACTTCACATCAAAGAACTCCAAGGAGTCACTACCACAAGACACTGGAGTGGATGTAGGATCAGATAAGTACAGCATAACCATGAACTATATCGTTGGTAGAACATAAAATCAATTCAATACTGAATTCAATACAGAAAAGTATGAATACAAAGTATTAGTGTAGTGAAAAAAGTCCTTTGTTACCCTTTATTTGTCTGTGCTGTGTACTTTTATACTTATTTGAATGTTGTGCTATTAGCTTCGCAACATGCTAATGCCAAACTGTATTAGAATCAATTGCGAGTTGAGCTTCCTTTGATATTCTGTTATTATTCCTGTGGGAGTTCCATAACTGGAGTAGGGCCTTTACTTGTCTGCTTTTAAATGTGTAAAATGAATGATGCAAAAAGACATTCCACTATAACAGGGCTGAAGAAGAACTTACATCTTCCCAAAATTCAACTAAAGAAGACGAAGAGGAAGAAAATGAGTCCTGATGGACAACAGAATGAAAAAACAAAACAATAACCATTATGACAGGAGAAAAAAAACTGAAAATAATACAACAGATCAGGAGAATACAGAAAGCGTGTAAAAAAAAATCAATAAGAATGATGAGAAAGATTTCTTTGGAAACCAGAGTGAACCTCTATGCAGATATTCTCATGAACAACGCCTGGGATCTCAAACTTACATCAAACTGATCCAGAGCAGAAGTGGGCGCATTGAGAAATGCCAAGAAAGAATTCTGGGAATCCTGATGCTTCACTCCTAAAAATGACAGAATCTTATCAAAACACATTTTTAAAATCTCATCAAATTAGACTGTAACATAGCCAGAAATGCTCTTTTTATGTCACATCATGAAAAGCAATGCTGAGTAGGTTGGATATTTGATTGTCACCAGTGTTTTTGTTGTTTTTGTTAATTAAATGTTGCCTTGGCAATTAACTGAAATTAGTTTAAGTAGAGCTGCCACCCATGCAGTCTGCAAAACAGGCCATTACAACCTCAGGAAAAAATATGATAGAGGGGGGATTTTGCTGTGACACAGGACAAAAACGGGTCTTACACGTCTGGTTTTGCTTCCAGGACCAAAAGAGGGTGATCGCTTTATATGGAGAGAGAAAAAAAGATGAGAGGAGAGTCAAACGTCATGTACAAGTGTCAGCTGGATACGATCATGGCCTGGGACGGCAGGTTGGAGAACGGAGGGAAGGGAATGAGGGCGTGTAAGAACACGTCTAATCTGTGGTTGGATTTCTGGGCATAGTTTACATGCACAAAGGAATCACTTCACATCAAAGAACTCCAAGGAGTCACTACCACAAGACACTGGAGTGGATGTAGGATCAGATAAGTACAGCATAACCATGAACTATATCGTTGGTAGAACATAAAATCAATTCAATACTGAATTCAATACAGAAAAGTATGAATACAAAGTATTAGTGTAGTGAAAAAAGTCCTTTGTTACCCTTTATTTGTCTGTGCTGTGTACTTTTATACTTATTTGAATGTTGTGCTATTAGCTTAGCAACATGCTAATGCCAAACTGTATTAGAATCAATTGCGAGTTGAGCTTCCTTTGATATTCTGTTATTATTCCTGTGGGAGTTCCATAACTGGAGTAGGGCCTTTACTTGTCTGCTTTTAAATGTGTAAAATGAATGATGCAAAAAGACATTCCACTATAACAGGGCTGAAGAAGAACTTACATCTTCCCAAAATTCAACTAAAGAAGACGAAGAGGAAGAAAATGAGTCCTGATGGACAACAGAATGAAAAAACAAAACAATAACCATTATGACAGGAGAAAAAAAACTGAAAATAATACAACAGATCAGGAGAATACAGAAAGCGTGTAAAAAAAAATCAATAAGAATGATGAGAAAGATTTCTTTGGAAACCAGAGTGAACCTCTATGCAGATATTCTCATGAACAACGCCTGGGATCTCAAACTTACATCAAACTGATCCAGAGCAGAAGTGGGCGCATTGAGAAATGCCAAGAAAGAATTCTGGGAATCCTGATGCTTCACTCCTAAAAATGACAGAATCTTATCAAAACACATTTTTAAAATCTCATCAAATTAGACTGTAACATAGCCAGAAATGCTCTTTTTATGTCACATCATGAAAAGCAATGCTGAGTAGGTTGGATATTTGATTGTCACCAGTGTTTTTGTTGTTTTTGTTAATTAAATGTTGCCTTGGCAATTAACTGAAATTAGTTTAAGTACTACAATTACTCAAATTAAATGGAAATAAAAATAAATGAAAGCTATATAGGAATAAATAAAAAAAAAAAATTTTTAAATTACTAAAACTAAATAAATAAAAAAACTATTCAATATTTAAAATATTAATAAATGTTACAAAATATATAAATAACACTGATCACCACCTCTCCTCAGTCTCAGCTCCTCTGTCTCCTTCCTCAGCCTCTCAATTTCTGAAAGCAGCTCCTGGTTTCTACTTTCGGAATCTTGCAATTTGCTGTAAGATAAAAAATAACAGACAAAAAACTATGCCACTCTATTTAAATTCACCTCATTCAAAAAGAGAGTGAACAAAATAAGCTAAATGTATACTATGCACATAAAGAGTGAAACGAATGTTGATTGAGCTGAAAAAAAGTTATTAGACTTTAAATGAAATCAGCAAACCAGATCTCTAGTTTCAGTAGAGTTAAGCAGAACTATGCTGATATGTGTGGTCTTACCATTCTGTGGCAATGTTAAATGCTTTGACTTTGTTAAGCTCGTCCTGGATGGACTGTTTGGCTCTGATCTCAGCATCCAGCGCAGACTGCAGCTCCAGACGTGCAGACATGTCCAGCTTAGCAAAGCGCCTCATCTTCCACGGCATGTCCTAACAAAGCGAGAAAGAGGCCCACCACATCAGACATGCAGGAAAATGAGAATATGGGTTTCATCTTTATCTGCTGTGGGCATGTCTCACCGTTCCTCTGGCTCCCAAGCTGGTGTTCCTGAGCCCTTCAAGCTCCTCTGTCATTTTTGTGGCTAGAGCTTGGAGGTAACCACGAGCATCTTTCTCATCGCTCACCCTGTATAGATTAGTTTAGCTTAGCTTTACCTTGACATAAACCACAAAATGTGTATATGCAACTGTATTCAAGTGATGAATGGTCAAATTATCTGCATGATCTAGATCCGCAAAGCCATGCAGACATGGGTAAAGGTCATGATCATCATGCATCTTTCTCTGCAAGTGTGATGTCATGTGGCTGCAGGTAGGGGGCTCCACTCACCACTGGATGATCTCAGTGATCTGGGCCTCCCAATGGGCAACACTCTCCTTCTTATCAGCCAACTCTCTCAACTCCTCCTCCAGCTGCCTGTGACTATTACTGAGCTGCTCATATATAGAGCTCAGCTGAAAAGAGAAAAGGAGACCACAAAGAGTTAAGAACAGAAAAGTAAAGATGTGAGGAAGCAGACGGATAGTTATTGGGTGGATATGACAGGCATTGCAGTTGCTAAGGTGGTTGTTAGCATGTTGCTACCAGTGTTGTTATGGTTAACTAAACCTAAAACAACAAAAACATAAACTGAAAAAAGCTTAAATAAAATATCAAATTTAGATATTTATTATAAATAATAAATATATATTTTTATCATATTACTGCATAATTGTATTATATAATAAAATTAAACTTAAAAAAACTTTCATGACGGCTAACGTTGACAAGCACTAAAATGACTAAAAATAACAAAAACAAATAAAAAATAAAGCTAAAAAGAAATTAAAAATAAATATTAAATATATAAATAATACAAAAAAGCACATAACAAAATTACTAGAACTTAATTACTAGAACTTAAACTAAAATTTAAAATCTATCCACACATAATTAGTTGGTAACCAAGCAAGCACTGACTTTGTATGTCAGTAGTATGGAATACTGTCAATGGCTACTGTCAACTGTTTGGTTACCAACATTCTTCAAAATTTCTTCTTTTGCGTTCAATAGAAGGAAGAAACTCATACACGTTTGTAATAGCTTGAGGGTGAGTAAATAATGACCATTTTCATTTTTGGGTGAACTATCCCTTTAAGTGTAAATCTATGGCAGTTTTTCTCTCATTTGATCATCTAATCAATTAGAAAAATAATAGCGCAGTTTGTCATTTATCCCAGATCAACTTTACTAGCTTTCATTGGTTTTTTGTTCAGTAGGAAACTGAACATTGTACGAAAGACAGGAAGCAAACATAATATGTTTCGGCGAGTCCATGCAAAACCTCTGCAGTGCTCTTTGATAAGAATGTGAATTTATTCAGGCATTTCACATCCTGGTTCAATTCCTTCCAAATGCCATCATTCTTGCTTATGTTTCGAAACCTCATCCAATCTGGCATTTGACATGACAGCTCTGGCCGGCTGCGCTATTGTTTTAAACTGCCTTTGTGTTTTGGGTTTCCAGGTATTTTTACGAAATGAATAATGTTTAATATCCATGCCACCAAAAATAAGGAGCCCTTTAATATCTGATATGTCCAAACTTGCAGAATTATTTGACTGGCTGATTCCCATTTTAACCCGCAGTCCAAAGTAAACAGTGGCTGAGCCAAGACGCAATTTTGTGTAAGTGTGTGTGGTTACAATCTCTCTCTAGGAATGTTAGCAGATTTGGGGAAAGAGTGCCAGAGGAGAAGGGGTTTGATGTATACTTTTTGTGATGAAAGAGACACAGGCTAATGCATATCATGGGCGTTGGCACATGTGTTTGTGAGAGCGATAGAGATCTCACTTTCTCCACTTCACTTGCGAGCTTCTTGTTTTCGTCTGTCAGATGCGCTCTCTCCCTCTCGTACTTCTGCTTGTACTCCGTCTCAAACTCCTCTCGCTCAGTTTGGCTGTTACAAACACAACAATGAACATGATGAAGTTTACAGTACAGCTACATTCTGCTACTATGAAAATTCAATGTATAGAAACAGATCTACAGGTTCACACTGGTGGCCCAACAAGCTGGTGGTCTCATTATGACCATGGAACATTCACAGACCATGGTTCTTACATTCAATATCAGATTTATGCCTCTTAATGTCATATAAAAACAATCTGGTGCATCTGATTGGCTCTTTCTGCCTAAGTGGGCGGCAGACAAGAAAAGCTGTAAATATCTGCCTATATGCAAAGGCTAAATGTGCCAGCAGCTGTACGATTACACGATGCTTTTACTGACAATGTAAAGAAACTGCATAAAAACCTGGTCACATATAGTCACACATGTACCTTTCTCTGCGGGTTTTCTCCAGTTTGTCTTTGAGCATGAGAATCTCTTTCTGAAATGTGAGGTGTTGACCCTCAGCATCGCGTAGCTCCTTCTTCAGGCCCTTCAGCTCGCTGCTGTGGAGTGTCTCTCTGCGACACAACTCCTCCTCATACTGCACGTTCTTCTTCTCCAGCTCTGCCCGTATGCGCATCAGCTCCTGCTGTTGGTCTGAGCTTGCCGCTGCGTGAGGTGGCCCGGTTTGTTTCAACTGCTGTAGGAGGATCGAGACACATGCAAGCATGAAGTGAAAGAAAGGACTAAGAGAATGAGAGAAAAGGAGGAAAATGGGAGCAAACAAGATCTAAAAGAGTTTTTCATGTATATGTATATTATATATATATATATATATATATATATATATATACAGTGGTGTGAAAATTCATATACATTTTAATATAAAGTAGACATGTTGTCAACAATATATATATATATATATATATACACCAGTAGAGATTTTGGACTATCTTCTCTATCACATGCTCACGTGATGTTGCTGTGCTACGTGGTCATCGTTTGCACGTGTTTTTTAAACCTTGCGGTTTAATTTTTATTTTATTGAATAATAATTTGATTTTAAACCGTTGAAACACAATCAACAGGCGCACGCACGTGAAGACGGTGCTCAGAGAGTACGGAAGTATTGAACAGAGTTATTTTTGCCGCTTTATAAGCATTGAACGGTTAAATACACACACTTGTATGCCTGTTTTTGCAAGTATCCTCGCAAACACAGTATTTTTGGTCTTAAGTGAAAGCAAACAGCTGAGAAGGAAAACAAGGGTAGCAGTATATCAGATCTGGGTAGCTCTTAAAGTGACAGCAGTCTAATATTCCTGCTGTCTGTCATTCATGTTAATCTCTCACTGCTCTTGACTAAATCACTTTTGTAACTTTAATATATATATAATATATATATATATATATATACACATAACATTTCTAAATGGCAAATTATCAGGCAATTAATGTATATTAATGTACTCATGCATTGTCACCTTCATCCCTTCCAGTTCCTCCTCCAACTGTCTGCTGTACTGTTCGGTTCTCTCTCGTATCTTCCTCTCTTTCAGAGCTTCTGCTGCTTGCTCCTCGGCCTGGGCCTCCAACTGCGAGGAAAACACCACAAACTTCAAATACGCAGCCAACAAAACCACAAATACGATACCACTGATGATTGCTGGGGCACTGCATCAAAATTACAAACATGTTGACTTGGCTTATATAAAGAGGTCAAACACCAGTAAGTTTCAGTAAGTATACCTCTTTGCGCATTCTCTCAGCTTTGCGAATCTCTAGCCGTAGAGCCTCTAGTTTCTGCGAAATTCCTTCCATCTCCTCCTCTTTGTCTCTGAACTGTCGGCTCAACCGCTGCTTTTGTGAGCGCAGATCGCTCAGCTGCTCGTTCAGCTCAGAGAACTCCTCTATGGCCACCTTCTTTTGACTGTGAGCCTCCTTTAGCTCCTTCCCCTGAGCCTTCACTTTCTCTGCCAACTCCAGCAGCTCCTTCACATATTCATTACAGAGTCAAAGTTACCATAAATTAAGGCTGGAATACACTACACAACTATTTACCAGATATTTCCCCTGATCTGCAGACTGGACAAGTCAATGCTAACTACCGAAAGTCAGAGTCAATCTGCAGATTTTGGGCAGTCACAGTTTACAGATTTCATCGAAAATCACATAGTGCATTATGGACACAGACTTTTAGCTTCAGACTAAAAGAAGACTGATTCCATCCAGTCAGAAGACATCAGACACGTTTGATATTTTGAGATATTTTGTTTTCATTCGTCATGTGTCTTCCTACTAATGTGACATGATTCTGCAATAATTTGTTATGTTCAGTATAACTTAAAAGTCTGGTAGTGTGTGATCCTCAGTCGTTTAATGCATGATGCCCAATATTTCTCTGTAACAGTTTACAAAGTTGATCCCTAGCGTTTTAAAATATGTTCACATTTTAAAAGTCATATAGTGTATTCCAGCTTTTACTGTCTATGATCAACTATTTACTAGTCATTGAGTTAAAGAGTAATCTGTTAAACAGCATGGTTAAAGATTAGTCAGCTCATGTCACTGTTACCATTATACTATGCCAGCTGTCACAAACAGGGGAACTAGTTAGTCTTTTAAGGCAATTACACTGAAAAAAAAACACACACAGCACAGACCATCTTTAAGTGGTTTACTGGTCTCCCAGTCTAGCCACGCTGTATTCTAATGGTTTTAGAGGAGTTTTGGTCATTTTTAGCAGATTAACAAGCTGAACATCAGCTTGGCCAGGCTGGAAGACCAGCTAGACCGGTTTAAACCATCTAAAACCAGTAAATCTTAGACTAGTTTAAGACGTAATTTAGAATCCTCATTTTTGGATTAAAGGCCAACATGATTAGAGTTGGTAAACCACCTTGGATCACCTGGTGGAGGCGTGGTTGAGCTAGTTAACCATACTCCAAACATCTTGACCTAGTTGACAAGCTTCAGCTACCTAGACTAGTGTAGAAAGCAAGCTAACAGTATGATTTTATGCCTATTTTTAAAATGCAATGGAATAGGTACCTTCTGCAGATCATCTTTCTCTTGCGTGACACTCTTCAGCTGTTTCTCTAAGCTCCTGATGACCTTAGAAGAGTCTTCCAGGTCTCTTCGAACCGTGCTGGCCTCCTCCAACTGCTGTTCCACTTGACCAGAGTCTGATGTGACAAAACATTAAGCCGGGCTCAGTGTTGGGTGTAACTAGTAACTAAGTAATTAGTTACTGTAATTTAATTACTTTTCCCTTGAAAAAGTAAAGTAAGGGATTACTCTCATTTTTTGTTTAAATACTTTGGTGAGTTAATAAGAATATTTGTAACACTTTAGTGTCCAATTCTCACTATTAACTAGTTGGTTATTAGCATGAATATTACTGGGATATTGGCTGTTTATTATTACTTAAAAAGCACATATTAATGTCTTATTCTGCAAGACCTTATTCTAAATCCTTAATCCTACCCAATTCTTAAACTTAATTGTCAACAACTACGTTACTAAGTATTAATAAGCAGCAATTAGGAGTATATTGAGACAAAAGTAGTTAGTTCATAGTTAATAGTTAGTTAATAGTGATAGTGTGACCAGAAGAATTTATGTAGTTATCTATTATTTATTTGAAAGAATTAAAAGAACCGTTTCATGTCTTTCCTTGTATCATTCATTAACTTTGATATAGGATTCAGAAAGTAATTAGTAATAAGTGATTAAATACTTTTTTGGAGAGAGTAATTTGTTCAGTAATCTAATTATACCGTTGAAGATGTAATTAGTAACTAGTAATTAATTACTTTTTTAGAGTAACTTACCCAACACTTATAGAGTCTTTGTCTAGAGATGTCACTACACTCAATGGGTAATCAATAGAGTACAATAAAGACCCAAGACCAGGACTGTGCCCTTGACTGAGCGTGTTCTAACCCAATATCGAGCTCTCACCTGCTATCTGTTTCTTCAGGATGTCGATCTCACTCTTTAAACTCCGGATCTCTACCTCTTTATTGGCATTCACTGGGGCGTCCGAATCAGGGTACTGCAGTGCCTGCACTGTTTGCGTGGACTCTAAGGGAAAAAGGATGTTTCAGAGAGACAGAAAGATCAAATATGATTTAGTGCGGATGTGGTAGTGCCCTCACCCTGTAGTTTACGCGCAAGTTCGGTCTTCTCCTGCTCTAGACGTCGGATCCTCCTCTCATAGGCCTCTGAGGCCAGGCTCTCCTCCAGGCTTCGCTGAAGATCAGCATCTACCTGTGGCGGTCCAATGGACTCCCGCAGACACCCTCGATCTGATAGTGTGCTATAGAACCACATCACACAAGAAACTGCAGTTCAAATTTTGTGATGCCGCAGAATAAATCAAACTGTTAAAGTGCACTACAACCTACACTACCATTCAAAAGTTTGGAGTTGTTAAGATTTTTTAGTATTTTTAAAATGTTTCTTATGCTCACCAAAGCTACACATATTTGATTAAAAATACAGTTACAAAAACAGTAATATTGTGAAATATTATTACAATTTAAAATAATTGTTCTCTATTTTAATATATTTTAAATTATAATTTATTCCTGTGATGAGTCAAATAATCCTTCAGAAATCATTCTAATATACTGATTTGGTGCTCAAGAAACATTTATTATTATCTCTGTTATAAAAAGGTTGTGCTGCTCAGTATTTTTCTAGAAACTGTGATGCATTTTTAAGGATTCTTTGATGAATGAAAAGTTCTGCATTTATATGAAATATAAATCTTTTGTAACAATGTAACTGTCATATATTTTTTTTTTACATGTTTTAAAAAGGCAGGATGAATAAATATATGACTCACCATTTGCTTGTGTAGGTGAAGCCTATGAATGGGAGGTGGTGTCCAGAAAATGGTGTGTGTGAAGGTGGGGGCAACGTCTCCTAAAATATAATATAATCCAGTTCTGTATAGTGGCATATTTAAGAGGAAATGTGTCTCTGCAAAAATCTAACAAACACACATTAAGGCACTTGTGTGGAATAAATTCATCAGCTTCAGGATAAAATTAGAAAGAAATTAGACACATACACAGTTTTTGAAGCAATCATCATCCACGTCAAAGTTGGAAGTGTCAGTGGGGCTGCTGACTTCGGGGATGTAGGGGGCTTCACATGTGCGGATGTTGTCCCAGTCGATGCCTGTGAAAAAGGGGTGCTGTTTGAAGTCATCGATCCCATTCTGGCCTAACCGGTGTTCTCTGCTGCAGATCAGCCGCCGTATGAGATCTTTAGCCTCCTCAGACACATCTGTCACCTGAAGTGGGAACTGAAAGCGCTCCTGAGAATGAATGAGTTAAAACATACTTAGTGCTCAGTGCTACGCATTGAGACTCTCTCAAATATCTCTGCCTATCTGCACTAGTTACATGTGCTCGATTAGTTAATTCCCACACAGAACTAAATGAACCTTGATGAATAGGTGAATTTTTACCTCATTGTTAGGTTGAGATGACTAATCCAGAATAAAATAGTCAAGAAAAGACAAAAATAATTTTTAATTCAAAACTTCTACAATCCACTCATGACTTTTTGTTTTATACCAAGAAAGAGACACAAACAAATTATCCTGGTGGTGAACTAAAAAAGGAACGGGTTACCTAGAAATTAAGCTACTCTACTGCAAACAGATTTCAGAAGAGGATCTCTACAATTAAAGGTGAAATGTGTAATTTCTGCATCACTAGCATCGCATAAATAGCACTTGTTTTCCTAAAGCTTGTTTTCCTAAATGTTTTCATAGTATAGCGTTTTTACACTATTGAGGGGAAACAACCAATGAATGGCTTGCTTGTCTCTAAAGGAAGAATGTACAGTATTTTAACACCTACAAATTACACATATCACCTTAAATACACATTGGAAAATAACAACACTGTCAAGTTACTGCACAGAATCACATGTTGGTCTACGATGCAAACTAACCTTATGATTCATGATCTTTCCATAAGTCTCCACCAGGGATTCAGCATAAAAGGGTGTCTCTCCATACAGCATCTCGTACATGCACACACCCAGAGACCACCAGTCACACTCCGGCCCGTACTTCCCCTTCCCGTCCTCCATAGCCTGCAAGATCTCTGGAGAGATGTAGTCCGGGGTCCCAACTGCCACAGAGGACTGGACCTGAAAGAAAACAGGAAATTATAACACAAGACTTACTTAACAAGAAATCATGTGCTTGACAATTCAGGATTGAAGATCAAACTCACTGTCCCATCTTCCATGAGCTTGAGGCATGAGCCAAAGTCAGCCAGTCGGATGTGACCATTCATGTCCATCAGGATATTGTCTGGCTTAATATCCCTGATTACACATAAAACACAATCATAAACATTTTTGTTCCAAACCAAAAAGAACCATAACAAAAAAGTCAAAGATTATAGTGTCATGCTAAATGAATATGATAATCAGAATCAGAATCAGAATGAGCTTTATTTTTATTGCCAGGTATGTTTTCACATACGAGGAATTTGTTTTCGTGACAGAAACTTCCACAGTGTAACAGAATGACAGTGACAGAACAAAAAACACAGATAATAAAAAATAAAAAATAGAACCATGAGATGGATTGCCCGAGGGAAGAAACTGTTCCTGTGTCTGGCCGTTCTGGTGCTCAGTGCTCTGTAGCGTCGACCAGATGGCAACAGTTCAAAGAGGGAGTGTGCTGGATGTGAGGGGTCCAGAGTGATTTTGCCAGCCCTTTTGCTCACTCTGGATGATCATTCATTGCCATGGTGTGTGCATATGTATTAAATTAAATTATATAAATAAATTGATACTTACTGTATTATTTGTTTATTTTTGTTATTATTTATATTATGTGTACATATAGTTAAATAAAAGGTGTATATATCAGACCACACTGGTACAGTGGTGTGCAGGTGGACTAACAAAGGGTCTGTGGTGTCCTAATGAGGGTCAAAGGTCATGTACACACTCTTGCCGTATTACACTTACTCAAATAACAGCACAATTTGTGCCAGATTTCTAAATTGTCCGAGATGTTTCATACAATATCTGTTTAAGACGGCTAAGTTTATCTATATAAATAAATCACACAACTGTCCTGTGGCTGGCACAAGTACAGTGATGGCTGTCGTAAAAGAGATAAGCAAAACTTTGAAGGACACGCGCACGCTATCTCTCAAACAGCCGGGGGATTTACCAGTGTCAGCACATCATTAATCATAACAGCTCATAAACCCTAAAACTCAGCACTACTGACGTTTTTGTTGCGCTTTACAGCCAACTACATTGCAGACATTACAAGCTCATACAGTATGTGTGTGTGTGTGTGTGTAAGCTGTGATCTTCCAGCTTTGGCAGAGTTTTAGTACACTGCGTGAGGAGAGTAGTGGAAAGCACAGAGATTTTTTCCCTAAGTGTTGATTATTAATGCAAGATATGAAGATATATATGTGTGCGTGTGTGAGATGAGAGGCAGGCAGCCACCCCCTGCTGTCGAGCAGTTGAATAGAGGGCCAAAATGAACCATGTATGAGAGGTCTGTCTGAGATTGTGGTAGGAACTCAGTGGGTGATGGAACTCTTTTCATAATGGCTTGACCTCATCCACACTGAATAATGAAGTCAACACTACGTTTATAATATACTGCACACCTGTTTGTGTGTCATGTTTCGTAAGTTATTTAACCATTAAGAAATCACTGAATTTTTTAATCACTGAAAACAAGCCTAAACTATTTAGAAATGCAACAAGATTTCATTTAAAATGTATTGTATACATATGATTTTAATTCATTTTAATCATTTTAATACATATATATCAACTATGAAATAAGTAAATATAAAATATATTTCTTTACTATATTTAACTATACACCACTATTCAAAAGTCTCTGAAAGATGTACGTTTTCTGAAATAAGTCTCTTATGCTCACTAAGGCTGCATTTATTTCATAAAAATTTATTACAAGCCATTGTAATATTGTAAAATATTATTGCAATCTGAAATAACAGTTTTATGTTTTAATATGTTTTAAAATAATTTATATTTTTAATTATATTTATAATTTGTTAATTAAAATTTTTTGTCATTTATTTCTGTGATGGCAAAGATTAATTTTTAGTAGTTATTACTCCAGTCTTCAATGTCACATGATCCTGCAGAAATCATTCTAATATGCTAAATTTGATGCTCAAGAAACATCTTATTCAATTCTTATTATAGTGAATGTTGAAAACAGAACATTTTTATAAAATGTGATACTTTTTTCAGGATTCCTTAAAAAAAAATCTAAAGATATAATGCTAAAAAGAACAGCATTTATTTGAATTACAAATTTTTGAATAGTAGTGTACCAGTATAAATAGATAAAGCACCCAAATGAATGTAATAATTCAGAGACATTATTATTTCATTATTGTGGCAGATGAAAGCATTGTTTGACTTTTAATAAAAAGTTAGTGCAATGAGATGCAATGACAACCCGCAATTGATGCATTCATTTTTCAGAAGGAAATCATTACAGAATTTATGTACAGCTCCACGGACACAATCAATTAGGTTGAGTTTGTGTTTTAACTGAAACACAAAATATTTATAAATACATTTATATTTTTTCAATAGCAAATTCGAACCCAATGCACAGCAGATCTCTCAACAGCCATAATCCATGACCAATTCTGCAGACCATCCAGACCCCTCATTTTGCTGAATCTGTCACTGAGGTCTTAAACAGTTTTTTTCTTTCCAAGAGGGTTTTGGCTTGATTGGGCCATTCTCACCGTCACGGTCCAGTGCCACAGAGCAAACATCAGTAAGCAGAGGAGGACATGCTAAACCAATTACAGAAGTAGAGAAACTCTGAGCCAAACAAATATGCTCTACAGAGTCCATAGATTAACACTATGAGCTAACAAGGTTTACCACAGATAATGTGGAAATATTCATGACACAGCCATTGGCGATGACTACATAGCATTATTACTCCATCCTTGTGTGTGTAACTCATTGCTAAGCTTATATTTATACTGTTAAACTTGGCTTGTCTTATATCTATATTAGATTTGGTTAACCTGGCCGCATGCCTCCTGCTAGACTAAATGCAATTCACTTTGTAATGGTGCATTAAGGGGTCCGGTCTGGTCAGCAGGGGTTGTAGTGTAGGTGATAATTGGGTGGCTCTGTCCCGGGCTGCTGTCTTAAGGAGCAGCGGACTGCGAGCAGAGGGAGGTAATCCCACTTTAAGACCACAATAACCATCTGTGAGCACCATCTGGCCCAGCCTCATGCCTACCACAGGGACAGCTGGTCAGCTATAGACAGGAAGAAAGAGAAGGGGGTGGGACTCATTGTATAGGGATGTTGTATACATTTCAGCAATTCATTCTGTCCTTTATTACTCGAGCACTGAGCTCAATCCATTATTTCCAAAAAAAAAAAAAACGGAAGCGTGGATTATGTGGAAACTTCAACTTGTAGGTCAAGGCCCTGTTGTTGAAAAAAAGCTGTTCTACAAGCACTAAGAACGCCGTCGACGTCGCCAAACAAAGCTCTTTATGAGGTCATCCAATCACCTGTGCCAGTTCAGATGAATGTGGCTTTATCCTCAGGCAACGACTGTGCATCTTTCTCTTTGATAAAGGATCTTTACAGGTAACAAGAGATTCCCTTTTGACATTTGAGGTGCGACGAGGCATGTCTTGGTGGCAAATGAAATTCCAGATTCCTTAGAAATCAGCTGAGGCATCACACACATGGCTTTGATCAATAGCAGGACACACATATGGCCCTGATCAATAACCGAGTATAATGCAATGGTCACGCACAACAAAAACACGCAGATGCTAGTGCGTCCGGTTGGCTCTTCAGCTGTGACATGGGCTGGTCCTTTTCAGTGAAAGGATCAGAATGCACCCTATGCAAATATCTGGCCGGGAGGAACCGGGCACTTAACACCACTTACGAGTACAATCTCTAAAAATCCTCCACTTTAACACAACAGCTTGCCTACTTAGTCTAATGAGGGCTGGGTGAAAGCAAGGGATCCAAGCTTTTCCTGGAAAGAGCTTTCGAGGCAGGAGCCGACTAATGTAATCTGGAGACTGGAAGTGTGAAAGCTGTATTTAAAATGTAAATGTGAATTAATTAAGTGACAAAAGTCATTTGAGATTTATTAAATCCATTTAAAGGCATTGTTAACCCAAAAAATGAACCTTTATTCCTCGCTAAGCCATTATAAACTTGTTTTTCATGGAAGATGCATCATGTCAGGTTTGATGTCAATGCTGAATGATAAAGTCTCTGTCATACAACTTATGTAATAAAGTAAACATAATAAAAGTATAATAAAAGTGAAATCGCAATGTGTTTCAGTGTGATTATTAAATTGCAAAAACTGTGATTTAATTAAATAAATGTACTGCATGTTTTAAAGTCAAATTAAATAATTATGTTTATAATAATATAATATAATATATAAATCATTACATACTTTTTATATCACTGTTTTAAAATAGTAATATTTTTTGTTTTGTTTAATATTTGTATCTTTAATAATAATAATAATAATAATTTTTAATATTATTATTATTGTTATTATTTTTTCTCACTTTATTTGTAAATGATCAAGTATTAAAAATTTTCAATATTTCAAAAATACAGTTAAAATGACATTTTAACATGTGACTATATATAAAGAAAGGGGATCAGAATAAAAATAAGAAACTATTAAAATAAAAGACACATTCAATTATAACCAAATAGTAAAGTACAAATAATTTTAATAATAATAATAATAATTATTATTATTATTGTAGTCATATATAAATCACAACATTTTTGGCCAAATTGAGCAGTCTTACAAACAAGCACAAAACCTGGAGCTCCTCTTTTTAAATCACACTTTAAATCGCAATTTGATTTTATAAAATAATTTAGTATTGACTATTTTCATTATTTAAGTGAAATATCCCTTTAAATATATATAAATCACAACATTTTTGGCCAAATTGAGCAGTCTTACAAACAAGCACAAAACCTGGAGCTCCTCTTTTTAAATCACACTTTAAATCGCAATTTGATTTTATAAAATAATTTAGTATTGACTATTTTCATTATTTAAGTGAAATATCCCTTTAAATCAAATTTTTAGATGGTACAGTACTATTTATGTATCACTGTGCATTCGTGCAAACTGTGGTGTCATTTCACACAGTACATCCACCCTCAAACATACAGATGCGCTTATTCCCAAATGCACACCCTTTAACACGGCTTGCTCAAAGAAAAACACACCCACGCCAACCCCATCCCTGGAGACCAATCCACTCTGTCCCCACCCTCCACAAACCAGGCGTGCCAAACTCTCACGAGGAGAGCTGACCACACCTCTAACCCCATGATTACTGCCTTTAACTTTCCCCTGCCTGTCCCTCTGGGTGCCCCAAAAGCAGCAACTAAAAGAGCTGCATATAAGTTTGTGAGGCATATAAGTCTGCATATAAGTTTGCATATAAGTAACACGAGTACATAACAGAAAGTGTGTGTTTGTACCCAAATTATGTGTTTGGTGGGACTGTTGAAGCACACCCAAAGTCCCAGTACAAACACATTCATCACACTGAGGGCTCTATGCAACTGGTGCCTGTCAGTATGCAAATGTTGACACTTCCTGTGTGATAACCGAAGATGGGTTCCAATCCAACCTGCCCTCAGACTAAACATAGCCTTTTTCCGACTCATTGCACTCTGATTTCATGCATGCTTAGCTGAATCGAAAACCCCATGAAATCAAAATGTGTGTTTTGTGGCTTTTAATCCATGTGCATTCATTTTGAGGTCATCTATATGCTAATATAAACTATCATTCAAAAGTTTGGGGTAAGATTTGTAATGGAAAAACAGTAATATTGTGAAATATTATTAAGATTTTAATATATTTTAAAATGAAATGTATTCCCGTAATGGCAAAACTGATTTTCCAGCAGCCATTATACCAGTATTTAGTGTCAAATGATCATTTTTGATGAATTTAATGCATCTTCGCAGAAAAAAATATTAATAAAATATTCATATTAATATTACATATATTAATATTAATATTAAAATATTAATATAATATAAATATTTCCTTAAAAATCTTGCTGCCCTCAAACTTTTGTATAGTAGTGTACTATGAAAGATTGACAAAACTGACTTTAATCAGATACAAGTTTTTCTTCTGTGAAAACATCAAAAGCACTGATGACTCAGATTTTTGGCCAATCAAATTCTCCCTAAAATGAGAATGCTCTCCCTATAAAACTACTTGTAACTAACTAGAAAACAGGGTCATGGCAAAATAAGGATGAGCCATTTAATACACCTCACCCAAACATCTGGTTTCAATCAAGAAGTCACATTTTGGCTGGTTAACAAGGCATCTGCTTTCAAATGTCATCAAAAAACATGTATTTTCAATAAATAAAAGAGTTTTACAAGCAAGCAAGACTACAAAATAGATTGCTGTGTACAGTAGGTCAGTGATAGGATTATACGTTTATTGATATGGAAACAAAAAAGCAATATATTGACTTCTAAAGCCACTTTTTAATGTCTATTCAATGCTTTCATCTGCCACAATGATATCTTTAAATGATCATCATTCAGGGGTTCAGCAAATACTGACATATGCCATTCATTTCATTAATGAGTGAGCATTTAATTCAGTCAAATTTTTAACTGATTAACAACCTTAGTTTAAAGAGTCAAGACCCACCTGTGAACATAATGTAGCTGATGCACGGAGTCAATAGCCAAGACCATTTCGGCCAGATAGAACTTGGCCATGTCTTCAGGCAAACGATCTTCAAATTTACTGAGCAGAGTCAACAGATCTCCCCCTACATAGTAGTCCATCACCAGGTACTAGGAGGAGAGAAAAACAGGAAGAAAATAGGAACAGAAGAAACAAAAAATAATGGAAAACAAAGATATCAATCATTTTACATCTTTTAAATTCCCTTTACCCTTGGATTAACCCATCCCATCTCAATTATCCATGACATTCTTTCATCTAAAATCTCTTTATCATTCTTTTCCTCCAGTTTCATTCCCTCACACTCCCACTCATGGAGCTGAACTCAAAATGATAATTCATATTAGAGCCCCTCTTCTTCAGTCACGCTATATGCAACACGGCACAGATAAATATATAGTCTTCTATAAAACCGTGTCCCTTGAAACTCTGTAAGCAGTGATTAATGATCATTACATTATCTTCCCCTTTGGACTTTATCAAGTGAATGTGAATCAGACCCAATGTGAGCTTGAGAGTTCTCACGCACCAAGTTGTTCTCGTCCTGGAAAGCATAGTGTAACGTTGTGATCCACTGACTGTCCCCGTTCACCAGCACGTCCCGTTCTTCCCGAAAACATGCCGTCTGAGAAAAAAAAGGTTAAAATGTCAGAGAAAACCACTTTTTTGGAGTCAGCCATCAAATATGTGCCCCACATATTTAGAATGACTCCAACCAAGGGGTCTGTTTCCACAGTGAGGAATGGTTTCTGAATCATATAGAGCAAAGACTGTTTGTTTTTAAGTGGTTTCTCATGTAATAACACTCTCCTAGGAAGCTAAAGAATGACACGCCAGGGATATAGGAGAAACGGCTGCATCAGCTGAATGGAAAAGCCTGATTCTAACTGGATCAAGATTTGCACATTATATAAAAATCAGTCTTGAGAAAACCATTACTGCTATTTGCAGCTAAAGCAGTTCGCTTTGGACCAAATCTGCTGAATGAAAGGAAGAGATGTGTAAAAACATCAGCTCACCTCAGCCCTTTTGAGCATTTCCCATTTGTTGAGAATCTTCATGGCAAATACTTTGTCTGTATTTTTCACCTTTACTACTGCAACCTGTAAAAAAGACAAGAACATCCAGTTCAGAAGTGATCTTAAACATAATATGGCCTGGAAACACTGTTTTTATTGGCATTCACACAAAAGTGTTACTCAGCTTGCTTGTTAAAAATGCTGCCATTAGCATTCAGTGAAGAAAAGTACAGCAGATTATGAGCAGAATTATATAATAGCCAATTTGTTCATCTCTACTGGTGTTTTAGGGTTTACAGAAACAAGTAAAACATGATTTTTGTGTCTACAAAGCATTTTAAATCCTACTGAAGAACTGATTTTTTAAACTTCAAAGAAATGTATTCAAGTGGTACCCCTCAATAACTTGGTGTCTGTAAACAAACATACAACGTCTGTGGTTGGTCTCTTTACAATACCATTCAAAAGTTTTTGGTTGGTACGATTTTTAAATGAAAGAAGTCTCTTACTCTCACAAAGGCTGCATTTATTTGATCAATAATACAGGAAAAACAGTACCTTTGTGAAATGTTACAACAATTTAAAATATCATTTTTATTTTAATAAACTTTAAAATGTAAATGCAAATGCAAAGTTGAGTTTTCAGCAGCCATTGCTCCAGTTTTCAGTATCACATTATCCTTCAGAAATCCTTCTAGTATGCGGATTTGGTGCTCAAATAATATTTCTTATTATTACAAATGTTGAAAACAGCTGCTTAATATTTTGTGGGCGTCAGGATTCTTTGATAAATAGAAAGTTGCATTTATTCAAAATACAATTTTTTTTTACATTATAAACGTCAGTCAGTCCATTCCTGTCTAAATGGGCAATTATTTGTAACAGTATGCATCAAATTCAATCTCTGTGAGACTACAAATAGTAAAGTTCAAATACAAATAAAAACAGATGTCTGTGAATGCCATGAGATCAAAATGCCAGGAAAGTAACCTTCTTATGATCTTATCTAGCTTCTGCCTTGAAGAGGAAATATGAAAGATTAAGCCCAGTAAGGCGTGTGATGTCTTCACTCTATTAAACGATGATCAGAGAACGTAACAATGTTCTGGCAATGTTCGGTGACTTGATCGGGAAAGAGCACACTTTTCTTGGCTCTGAACTGGATGACAGAAGAGTCTTCTTCAAAGTTGTTTGCTCTTCGCTTTCTGCCATCAAGTATGTGATGACATCTTCAGAAACTAACATTCTGTATGTTTATAGTATGCTTAGTACGTAGTTTATACTTTACAAATATTTACAGTATATAAACATTTTAATAAAAAAATTACAGCATTACAATAAAGTAGCATTTAAGTGTGTTGAAAAGAATGACTTTAGAACACATTGATAATTTTTTATTTTTATTTTTTTAATTCAGTAGCAGCTACTGGCTCAGAAGTCTCCATAGGAAATGATGTCATCTGCCCTCCTTCTGCTCGCCCAAGCCTATCCTGAACCATCAAGAGATGAAAGTGTGTGACCGATCCGCAATCTGTTCCTTCGCACGTTTTCTCACAGCTACATCAAGCAGAACAGACTTTCTGCTATCTTTCCATGAGCTGTTGATTCCAGCTAGACTGAAGTGAGCAGACGCTAGGCCGGAAACCCTGTCGAGTGGTGTGTCAGAAGAAAACGCTCCTATTGACGAGGTTGCAGATGAATCATAGCTCACCAGACGTTGACAAGTGAAAACCGAAGGACTGACACATATAGCCCTTTAAAATCTACTTTAATCTCAAGGATCTTTGATGTATTTCCATCCACCCAATCTAATAAATGTGTTGCCATTTTTATAACTCAAACCTATCCGTCATTAAAAAAAGTTTAAACTGCCTTTTTGCAGACACAGCTGTTAATGTATTTCACCACTTGGAAAATTTAAGGTACTTGATTTCAGAGGAATTTGTTTAAAGCAGATCTGTATGTTAAAGGATTCGATTTGGTCTTCATTTACTCACTCTTCTGTTGTTCCCAAAACCCATATGAATTTCTTTTTTCCATTGAAAACAAAAGGAGAAACTTTGAGGTATATGCTGGTCACTATCCGAATGTAGATTAAAGCTTTCAAGCTTCAAAAAAAAAAAAAAAAAATTCCATAAAATGAGCATAAAAATAGTGTGAACAAATTGTACGCAAAATTTCAAGTCAGAGCTGCCAAGATATTCCTCAAATATTAACTTTTGGTATTCCACGGAAGAAAGGGAGTTGCACTGGTTACAAAAAAGTGAGTAAATAATGACAGAATTTTTATTTTTGGGTGAACTATAACTTCAACTCAACTTGGAAAAGTCCAAGTGCCACAGAGCTGTTTTCTCAGTCACTGTGAAATAAAACCTGAATAAAAATTCCATAAACCATTTGCTGGGGTTTTAAAACATGGCTGCTATCCAATGTTCCCACTTCATGGGCCATTCTGAACAGCCAGGCCTCACTAAGTAACCTAATAGTGCTGGTTTCCTGGCCTACCTGTGCACCACACATTCCCCAGTGACTACATCACACATCTGTCATTACAAAAGAACATCAACTGCCTCGGGCTCTCAAAAGTACTGCATGAAGAATGTCCTTACTCTGCAACATACCTGTGCTTATGGTAAAGCAGTATATTAACTCATTAAATAATACAAAGGGGCTGTTATGGGAGCTAAAAAAAAACAATACATTGTTCCAAATGGAGTGAGAACAATAAATACCTCTCCAAACGCTCCCCGTCCAATCACCTTCAGGATCTCGAAATCTTCCTTGTGCAAGCGCATCTGTTTCACCTTGGATGTGAAAGGTTTGACTGTAAAATAAAAAAACAGAAAAGAAAGGGGACAAAATCAGTATGTGTGGGATGGAGCTAAAAAAACATTTAAAAAAATAATAATACAAATACAGAAATTGTTAAAACTTATAGAAAAATATGCTACCATTCAAAGGATTGGGGTCAGAAAGATAAAAAAAAAAACAATAAATAAATAAATAAATAAAAATACTTCTATTCAGCAAAGATGCATTTTGATCAAAATAAATAAAATATATTTTAAAATATAACGTTTTGAACTTTCTTTTCATCAAAGTATCCTGACATAATGTATCATAATGTATTGAACTGATTTCAACATACATAAAAAAAAAAAGAAGAAATGTTTCTTGAGCACCAAATCAGCATAATAGAATGATTTCTGAAGGATCATGTGACACTGAAGACTTGAGCAATGGCTGCTGAAAATGTAGCCTTGCCACTACAGAAATACATTATATTTTACATTTTATAAAATAGAAAAAATTATTTTAAATTGTAATAATATTTCACAGTAATACTTTTTTTTTTTTAAATAAATGCCACCTTGATGAAGAGATTTTTTTCAAAAAAAATTCTGACCCCAACATTTTGAACAGTTATTAACATTTCATTTATTTATGAAAAGCTACTGTTTTCAGAGTTATTCTTAACTTTTTTTTTTTGTCAAATTAACTACTATTTTAAACAATTTGTTGTAAATATTACGTAAAATAATTAATTCTTCTACTGTAGCAATATTGTGCGTGTTATTCCCAGGGTGGGAAACATGGGAACAGAGGAGGAGATGATCTCAACCGCAGTGCGATAAGGATAAAAGTCTGCCGTGTTTATCCTCAACAAGAGGATAAACACCTGCCATCCACCCACCCACACCTGCCATCATCAGAGTCTATGCAGCTTAAAACTTAGCATCTCAGAATGAGGTAAGCATGACCTTCCTAAAACATCTTTTTAACAAAGCTCAGCCTCATCTAATGGCTCTCATACACATTACTGAGGTGTTCTGTTGCAAAATCTTTCCATGGGAGCACAGTGCCACTGCTGCAGACTCAGTTTAGTCCATAAACTCTCATCCAATCAGCATTAAGCACACAGGGTGGGGCGGCTCTGTTGCTATAGCAATATTGGATTGTGCAGAAGAAAGAAATTCAAAAAAAGTCACATAGGTGTCAGAATGTAGAATTGTTGTATATTTAAAAAACTATTTTTTATAAATGTTTTACCAACTAAAATGCGTTTTAGCTAACTTTCATTAAAGTCAGTTAGATTTTTTATATAATGCAATGACGTGTGCATTTTTAAGTGGTTTAAGTGTCTAAATTTCTTCTATAATTACTTCTATAAAACCTCCTTATTTTTACTATCTAATAATATAAACTAAGAATAAATAAAATGTTTCCCACACAATATTCTGATTCTATTTAAGGGGTCATTGTCTGTTGAAGTTCCAGGCAGCATCTGTCTTTCAGAGCAAATAAGTGGGTAGATCAGCAAGGTACAATTGGTGGCTCCAAGGCATTTTGGTCCCAGCAAGCCTCCAGCCAGGTCATTACATCTCATCAGAACTGCTCCACATTACTACTGTAATTACACTTAAGCACTGACCCACTGCTAATCTAACAGTCGTCACAGTCACATATCACAGACCAGCTACTCTATCACACATCCTGCTGACAGCTAAAAACAAGCTAATAATACCAGCAATGTGTAAACACTATTGAACAAGGGATAGGTAGTGTAACCAAAGCATTATATCATGCTAGGAGTAATTTTTTATAAAGATGGTATATATATCACAACTGTGTGTATATATTATTTAATAAGAAAAAAATTCTACATTTCCAGCTAAATTAAACAAACATAAATAAATAAATTAATTAATTAATTAAAAAGTATATTTAAATTATTACTTATACTATTATATATGATATGTTTATACGGATATATTTTTGCTGGAAATATGTAACATGTATGTATGTATGTGTGTGTGTGTGTGTGTATATATTATGAATTTTGAATGAAAATTTGAATGAAACATTACACTAAAAATTAGTAAATAAAAATTGTAATAAGATTTTATTATTTTGATCTTTGTATCTTATTTAAATAAAAATTAAATAAACATTTGCCAATGCCTATTTTTGGATAATCTATTGTTTTAAATAAAAATACTTATAAAAGTTATACTTATAAAGGCATATTTCATTTGATTAAATTTTGTATTTTTTGGAACTTGATGGATGCAAACCTGAAGATAATGTCTACTGTCTGGCATCAGTTCAATATCACAACTGTGTGAATA